GGGAGGAAGCCTCGGGAAATTTTAAGTTTGTTTTCACGCAAAATTTGGCAAACTATAAAATCTTAATAACGAACAGTTTGTTATGCTATAAGTTTTGGCAAACTATTATGCACTAAGTTTTCAATGACACAGAGAGAAAAAGAAGAAACAAACTTGTGGAGAAACAATGCAAGCAGTAAGGTTAGAGGGAAATGAAAAGCAAAGACTTCTATTACAATTATGTTTAAGCTTTTAAGTACCTAAAATAAGTGCAATGACAAAGCAGTGCTGATACTGACAGATGCTACTTGGCACTAGACACTAATTAAAATCTATAGAGAGATTAAGATGATAAAACCGAACCTCTTGATGAGTTATTACACAGCGGTCTGCTATTTTACACTCCTTTTGAAGTCTCTTTGCTAAGATCAGGAAGAGAAGTTCCTGGGAAGCTGAAATGTTCCCATACTGGTTTTGGATTATGATGTCAGCTTTATATCAATTTATTCTTCCGTGAAGTGATTGACACCTTTGTCCCTTGCAGATACAGAAGGGCATGGCTGGAAAATGGCTGCATAGATCAATTTACATTGAAAGGATTAGAAGATAAGACAGCCCTTGAATCTTTTCTGATGTCCTGTAGATATGTGGCATCATCACTCATCAGTTGGTTTCTGATAGAAGATGTATATCATGTAGTTACACAATAGTGTTCAGGAAATGGATCTGCTTTATTCTTGTCATACCTTTTTATTCACCATTGAACCATCCCTACTTTAAGTTCTGCACTTTATTTCGGCTCATTTATTGACTTCCTCAACAATCTCACCAGTGATTTTCCCTAGCCCCTCTTCAACTAATTTCTGCACTTTCAATTGGCTCCTTGGGAATTATTTGCACTCATTGAGCTTGAACTCAACTATGACCTTTATCTCAGCCTATTGTTTATGACACTGTTTTTAGGATTGTTTTTAATTGTGTTATGTTTTATTATTTTTATTGAGTGATTTTAAACTATGCCTTTGTTTTTACTTGTAATTGTGGGCTTGCCCTTTATAAGCCGCCTTAAGTCCCCTAGGGGAGATGGTAGCAGTATAAAAATAAAGTTATTATTATATTATTATTATATTATCATCCAGGAGCGTCAGTAGAAGTTTTCTCAGAATTCCACTCAAAAACATTGATCCAACCTAAATTAGACTGGTTCATGCAAACTTTGGTGGAAGTAGAAAAAGAGAACACAACACAGTTTTATGCATGTGGAGATAGTGCTCAGTGATGCCTGAAAGTGTACAATGGCCTGCAGGTTAAATTGTATGTCCATTCTAAAATACAATAATTTGAATATATGTAAATCAATTTACATTTGTGAGGGAACAAAAATTAGAATAAACCCAAACCCAGCTCCATTCCCCCACCTCTTCTATTTTTCTGTGCTATGTGACATTTCATTCAGTACCACTATGGCAGGGATGAGGAATGTGTAGTCCTCCAGTTGTTGCTAAAATGCAACTCCATCACTATCAGGCAGCATAGCTCAAAGGTTGATGGGAATTCTGGTCCAGCATCTGGAGGACCGTAAAGATTGTCACTCTACAATTCCCTTTGCAGCTTTGCTTCCCTGTTTCTAGTTTTTTGCTCCTTTCTTCTTTATGCCCACTGTCATTTCACTTAACACTCCTCCTCTTTGCTTAGTTTGGCAGCAACAACCCTCAAGCTTGTCCTTCCTACAGCAGTTCATGTGTTATGTGATACAAGGGAAATGTACAGCATGGCTGATAGACTGAAAGCCAACTGCCAACTCCACCATCCACATTTCCATCCTGGAGGAAAAGCATTATAAACTAGCATTACAGGATTTATCCCTTGTCTGTTTACATGAAGGAAGTGCGACAGTTCTGTGAGTCTTCTGTTGTGTAGGATTAACTTGGAAGACAGTCCTCTTTTTAGAAAGAAAATATATTTTCAAATGTATATTTAGAAAGAAAGAAAGAAAGAAAGAAAGAAAAGAATGAACACATTGAATAAAGAGTGTGGATTCAGCATATGCCTTAATATAAGATCATCATATTTCCAAGAACACATTTTCTTAATGTTGACGTCTATAAAATATACCCTGAGGTGTAGCTAAAGCAGTGAATAAATTGTGATTGACTTCTCAACCTTGAAACACAAGTCTTTTGGCAACAGTAAAATATACATGATCCAACCATATTAATCATTAGTTGAATTCCTTATGACAGGAATATAACATAAAAAAACACATGTTGTCCACAAAAGCAAAAGATTTTCCAACACCAGAGTCATAACAGCAGTGAACTATTCTGGCCCTCAAAATGTTCGCTTGCATCTCTCAGCAGATATAGTTTCTTTTTCCAGATTGCCATATTTTGCTATATTGAGAATTACTTTCATCCCCTGTGGTTTTACCAGCTAGAGCAATTCTGCATTACTTCCACAGGATGGCAATATATACTGTGAAACATATTCAGGAGTAGCCAGGTTGGTCACGCAGCAAAATCCAACAAAATACAAAATCTTCAAATTAGTGATACCACTACAATGTATAAAATATAAATGCACATTTTCAAAGCTTCCCTGGTTTCTTCATCAGTCAGAGATGTTAAAAGGCATATAGAAGAAAGGCGACGTTGGGTTCACTGGCCTACAGTGGAGCTGAAATGTTATTAGACTGCTATAGCCTCTGCCTGCACTGAAACCCCTCAATATCATCTTAACAACAGAGTAATATCTGAAACAAAATATAGGCATGTGGTTCTAAGAATTTATGAAATTTTTTTAACTAATGAAGAAGACAATGGCACTTAGAAAGATTGCATAATGTGTTTTAAACTGTGGAGTTGGCCGAATAAAGATATCACCACTTTGTTGGTTTTGAATTTTCTAATATACAGGAGCAATTACCAAGACTTATTCCAATATTAAGCAAAAAACAGCTTAATTTTGAGATAATCTGTGCCCCCAGTGGCGCAGTGGGTTAAACCCCTGTGCCAGTAGGACTGAAGACCGACAGGTTGCAGGTTCAAATCCGGGGAGAGGCAGATGAGTTCCCTCTATCAGCTCCAGCTCCTCATGCGGGGACATGAGACCCTAAGGGTCATCTAGTCCAATCATCAGCCATGCAGGAGCCCCCGGTGGCACAGTGGGTTAAACCCTTGTGCTGGCAGGACTGAAGACTGACAGGTCACAGGTTTGAATCCGGGGAGAGCGCGGATGTGCTCCCTCTGTCAGCTCCAGCTCCCCAAGCGGGGACATGAGAGAAGCCTCCCACAAGGATGATAAAAACATCAAATCATCCGGGCATCCCCTAGGCAATGTCCTTGCAGATGGCCAATTCTCTCACACCAGAAGCGACTTGCAGTTTCTCAAGTCGCTCCTGATATGACAAAAAATAATTCTAAATTATTAAAATACATTCTCAAATTTCAGTGGAGACCTAATCCAAGTATTCACCCAGCATTAGGATAGGATAAAAATGCTCTTCTGCTGCTAGAAAATATTCAATTACCCAGCCCAGCATCAGCTCTATCTTCGTAGATATAGTTATTATGGGTTTGCAAAACTTTGTTTCTAATAAGTCATATATAATTTGTAAGTTTTGTATATGCAATCAAATATTAAGAAATGGGGATGGGGGGAGCACAATAAATTAAGAATCAAAGCTTACCCAATACTTTTTCATTTGTAGTTTGTAAATCTCGGAAGCCTCCCAAAATCAGTTTCTTTTTCAGAACAAGGAAGCAAAGTAAAGACAAAAAGGCTGCCTTTCCTTTTAAAATTAATGCCCTCCAACCACTAGGAGAGGGAAGCAGCAAGGGGAAAGAAGAGTTCGCTGGGAAAGAGACTGAGAAAGAACAGAATTCTGGGAAATGTAGTTTGGGAAGGTGAGAAGTCCTATGCCAGAGAATTCAAAAGGCCCTGCCCTAAACTACATTTCCCCGAATTCTGTTCAGCATCAGAAAGCTCCAATTAGGATAGAGGAGAGATTTGTCCTTTCATAGCAGCAGCCAGAGTTCCAATACATTGTTGAATCTGCAAAGAATCTGCAAACTGACTGATACCTCAATACTAGAAATAAATCAGTGCTAGGCTGGGAAGGAATCCCTAAATTGAAGTTCTATTGTTTAATATGAGAGATATTCATTGAGATAGCTATTGTAGCTTTTAAAAAAGGTTTTGTCAAAACCTTTTTAAAAATCCAAAAAATCAGTAGATATATGAATATTTCTGAAACTTGGGGGGAATGATCCCCTGTTATCTCATATCATTGTAGAGGCAATTCAAGGAGATAGCTCTTGTAGGGTTTTTTAAAAAAGTTGTTTGTAAAAACTTTGAAAATTCCCTAAAAAATCAATGGATGAGTGAAGTGTTCTGATGGGCTTACAGTGGTAAATGTCCTCTATAATTGCAGCACGTTTCATGCCAATATCTCTAATAATGAGGGAGAAAGGTGCCCCTGAAGTTTCCCCATTGGCATAAATAATTACTTAACAAAAACTAACAAAAAAGTAGTTAACTCATTAGGGTAGTCTTCAGGAATTTCCAACATCCTAAGGCTGAGAGAAAAAAGAAAAGAAAAAAAATACCTATTTGGGAGCAACAGAGGGTGCATCTACACTACAGAATTAATACAGTTTTACACCACTTTAACTGCCATGGCTTAGTGTTATAGAAATCTGTGAGCTATAGTTTGCTGAGGCACCAGCATTCTTTGGCAGGCTCACCCAATGCTTTTAGTAAAACTACACTTCCCATAATTCTACAGCATAGACTCATGGAAGTTAAAGTGGTATGAAACTATATTAACTCTACAGTGTAGATGCATCCTTAGTTGGGTCAGACTGCAGAGGGAAAAGGAGTGGGCTTAGCAAATTAACTTCCATATAATTCAGATTTGGATCAAACCCTTTCATTTCTTCAATCATGAGATGCTAGCAACATTAGAACATTTCAAACAACCTCTTTTATCATGTTTTACATATAGATAATGAAGCACACAATTTTACAAAGGGAACTCTTATTGTATAAAGTGGTGACAAAATATTCTTCTTACTCATACAAATAATAATAATAATTCAAGACAATTTGGTTTAAATAATTGATTCTCTTGGAAACTTAATTTCTCTGGCACAGAAAAAAAGTCTTCAGCTCTCCAAAGAAAGGAATCCAAGCAAGCTGCCAAATGCCTAAAAATGTGAACAGAAAACAAGACAATTACATTTCCAGTAGCTGATAAAAATCGATCTTCCCATAGCCACACTAACTGAGGGATTCTAGGAGTGCAATCCAAATTCTATCACAACCAGAGTACTATGTTGCCCTTACTCTTCAGACTTAGAATAGTCATACTGGTGTGTTTAACTGTGGAATATCCAGGGTGGGAGAAAGAACTGTTGTCTGTTAGGGGCAAATGTGAATGTTGCTATTAGCCAACTTGATTAACATTGAATAGCCTTGCAGCTTCAAAGGTTGAGGCTGATGAACCAACCTGGACACAGCATATTATTTGAGAACAGAAATGCTGGACCACTCTAACAACCACCATGTTCAGACTACACAGAGAAGTCATTGAAATCCACAAGCATGTGGACAATTTCAACAGAAAGGAGGAAACCATGAAAATGCACAAAATCTGGCTACCAATATTTTAAAAAACCACTAAAATCAAGACAGTAAATAAAGAACAACTCAGAAAACAGGGGAATTCCAGACAGGAAACAATCAGGGCCAGCTAACATCTCCTAACAAAGGATTTCCCCAGGCAGGAAGCTGCCAGGCTTTGAAGCTGCAAGGCTATTCAATGCTAATCACTTGCCTAGTTTCCGACAGACCTCACAACCTCTGAGGATGCCTGCAATAGATATGGGTGAAATGTCAGGAGAAAATGCTTCTGGAACATAGCCATACAACCTGGAAAGCTCACAGCAACTCAGTGATTCCGGCCATGAAAGCCTTCGACAACACAAATGAAGGACTGCTTGAGAAAGTAAGCAGCAGGAAGGCCATTATTACCATACAGAGCAGGGAAAGAGTCACAGCCTGGTTTGTGGTAAGAGAAACTGGCATTGCTTGGCTGAACCTACGCTGATGTTAGAAAGGTTATCTTTGATTTAAAAAGCAATGAGAGCTATTCTGCCCTTGGATGACAGAGCCTAAAACAGGTCCAGCACAGCAAGTATTCCTACATGCCATTTATTTGAACAAAATGCTGGACCAGGTCAGTGTGACAACTAAAATATATGTGCTTTCTGTTTTGTTTCTAAGATATTTTTAAAGTAGGCTAAATTTTTTTTGGGTGTCCATGTTTCCATAGCAATCAGCAGAGTTTAAATATGGGGACTGTGGCCTCCAGAGAACTGCAGTGGCACAAACCTTACTAAATTAAAATATAGTTTAGGCCAAAAAGAAAAAAAGTTTGGAGGACCACAACCTCTGGGGATATTTATATCCCAAACCACAAATATTCAAAGAAACGTGTATAAATGTATTTTACCCAGGTAATACAAAGCATGGCTGCTTGATAATAAACAAAAAAATGGGGGGGGGGGGATTTTAGCAGGACCGTTTCTAAAATCACAACATTCCCATACAAAAAGTGAATATCTGGGCAGGAATCTTTTGAACAGAATATTTATGTGTGACAATCATATATGCAGGAGGAAAATTTGCAGCATTTGAATTTAATAATGTATGAAGTGTCCCTCATCTTAGTTACTTGCAGTCCTCTTGCAACTTTAGGATATGCATTATATATAATCTCCAAACTGTACAGGATATATGTCCATGTTATTTTATGCTGAAGGAGGTGAAAATGAAAACTTGGGCATTAGGAAGTTTGTTGCTCAACCTTCCTAATGCCACAACCCCTTCATACAGTTCCTCATGTTGTTTTGACTCCCAACCATAACATTATTTTCGTTGCTACTTCCTAACTGTAATTTTGCTACTGTTATAAATCGTAGTGTAAATATCTGATATGCAGGATGTATTTTCATTCACTGAACCAAATTTGGCACAAATACCTGACATGCCCGAATTTGAATAGTGGTGGGGTTGGGAGCATTGATTTTGTTGGGAGCATTTGATTCTGAACTCCACCAATGATTGAATTGAACCAAACTTGGGACACAGAACTCCCATGACCAACAGAAAATGCTGGAAGGGATTGGTAAGCATTGACCTCGAGTTTTGGAGTTATAGTTTACCTATATCTAGAGAGTACTTGCAGACTCAAACAATGATAGATCTGGACCAAACTTAGCACGAATACTCAATATGCCCAAATGTGAACACTGGTGAAGTTTGGGGAAAATAGATTTTGGCATTTGGGAGTTGTAGTTGCTGGAATTTATACTTCACCTACAAGCAAAGAGCCCCTTGAATCCCAGCAATGATAGAATTGAGTCAAATTTCCCACACAGAACCCCCATGACCAACAGAAAATACTTAAGGGATTTGGGGGGAATTTGCAGTGATTTAGGGAAGATGTAGTTCACCTACCTCTGGAGAGCACTGTGTTCCTAAGACTATCAGAAATAAATGTTTTCTGGTGGTCATTGGTGATGCCTCTGACAGCCCCCTCGTGACCCCTTCCCCCAGGTGTCCCGACCTCCAGGTTGAGAAACGCTGCCATAAGGCATGACAACAGTGACAAGTGGGGTGTAATTTAACCCCTATCTGCACACATGGGAAAAGTATGTCAATAACGTCACAACAGCACTACATCTGTAGGCCACAAACACCAATTGAGCACTTTGAGCTTGGCGGGGGGGGGGGAGGCATATGATTGGGCCATAATACCCCCATAAGTTGGGGTTCTACATTTATATAGTGCAGAGCTCATTCTAATATATAATAAATGCATAGAGATATATAATAAATGCAAAGTGCATGACCACAAAATCCTTTCAAGATCCTTTGGGTGCAAGGACAGATTGTGTGTCCCTCTCCCATTCCCCTGAGGGGCAGTTCTAGATTCTCAAAAACATTTTTCAAACCATACCTTTGTAAAATCCTTCAGTTTTCTTTCTTGCCTGCTTTTTTCAGCCTTTCCTCCTCTTCTTTTTTCATTTTTTCTTCTAGCCTTTTCCTCTGGTATATTTTTACCCCAGCAAACGCTAAGCAAAGAATTAATGTTTTGGCAGCTAAAATGTACATCAGCAATGGAAAGTTTTCCAGCGCCTAAAAAAAAAAAAACATACACACAAATATGTTCAGCCACTCTTGTAAAAACACAGCAACTACTACAGGCCTTGACTAGCCTCTGTACTATGCTGAAAGAATATTTCAGCTAAATTAGTCTCTGTTGTTTTCAAATGAGGAGGAGTATTTGAAAGGCAGTTTTTGTCCAAGGGCATTTGGATCATTGGTAGTTTCTGCCTCCCTCCTCCATGTTTTCAAGTGAAATGCTGGGGAAAATACTGGGTCATACTTTGTTCTTTGGAAATCCTATGCACTACATATGCTACATGAATACAAAACAACTTTTTTGTAGGAAGTTTCATTCATATTTTTGAATGAAATTTCCTTCCGCTTTGCATCTGCCACTTCCACTTCTTCCCTCAAACAACAGCTATTCAAATAACCTGTCAAATGATGTACAGGAAGAAAAAATGCTCTGTGCCATGCTGTCCACATGCAGTTTTTAAAGGTTGCCATATGCATTCAAGTCAACTCCAAATTACAGCAATCCTATTTAAGGTTTTCTTGGCTGGATTTCTGCAGAGGAGATCTGTCACTGCCTTCCTCTATGGCTGAGAGAGAGTGATTTGCCCAGGGCTACCCAGGGGGTTTTCAGTATATGCAGGGACTGAATCTGTAATCTCTCCCTCCCCATCTGTGGAAAAAGAGGACATGCATTTCACTCTGTAGACAGCATAGTAGAGATATATTTTATGGCAGGGTCAGTGATGTTGGCCATTGTACTCAAGAAATCTAAAGACAGCTACGAATTGAAAGGACAGCTATGAAGAAACTCGATAAGATGCTTGAGTATAAAGATACAATATACCTAAAGGCCATCCATTACAGAAAGACTGACTCAATAAAGGAAACTGTAACCCTAAATTTGCAAGATCTGTGCAGGGCTGTTAATCACAGGAACTACTGGAAATCTCTCATTCACAGCATCACCATAAATAAAATTGGACTTGATCACAGGGAACAACTACATCAATAAGAATGTTGCACATATTTTATCAGAAAGTCTTACTTGTGCTTTGCAAGCAGCAGGCTTATATTTATAACATTTCCTGATAGCTTTGGAGTCAGCTTCAGATATTCTGAAAATACTGAGTTTTTTTAATGCATCATACATTTGTCCCCTGAAAATCTGGATTTATATTTGGCACATCAACATTAAAGTCTTCTTTAACATTCAGTATATAGTAAACGGGGAGCAAGGGTATAAGCACTACCACACTGAAAACCACGAAGTAATATTACCTAAAACAAATCTGATATTCTATGAAAGCATGGAAAGATTATGTGGGTGTTGTTATCATTGCTGTTCTAAGGAGGTCAAGTCCAATTCAAACCCACATCTGTGTTCTTTGTTGGAAGACAGACTGAGGACCGCTTGTAATGTGAGTAGCTGGAATCAAGACTCATAACACTATGTGACACAATTTTTGTCCCTGGATTATAAATGCATACATTTCATTTCCTAATGGGTTCTATCATAAAAATATGAGGAAAGTTTATTACACTTGAAACACTTTGTTTTTGCGAGACATCCTGCAGCACGTTTTGCTATTATTTTTTAATAGCCGCTAAAAGTCTCCCACCAATTCAGCATAATTTGTGGCAGCCACAAAAACCGAGTTTCTGAAGTATAACAACTACTTTCAAAATAAGTATTGCACAATTAAACAGGAAATAACACACTTTCAAACCAGGAACACAACAATTTTCAAATTTTGTTAAAGGTAAAGGTTTTTCCTTGACATTAAGTCTAGCTGTGTCTGAGTCTGGGAGGGAGGAAGGGCTTATCTCCATTTCTAAGCCGAAGAGCAAGAGCTGTCTATAGACACTTCCAAGGTCATGTGGCCAGCATGACTACATGGAGCACTATTACCTTCCTGCCGAAGTGGTACTTATTGATCTACTTGCATGTTTTCGAACTGCTAGGTTGGCAGAAACTGGGGCTAACAGTGGGAACTCACCCCACTCCCTGGATTCAAACCCCCAACCTTTCGGTCAACAAGTTCAGCAGCTCAGCGGTTTAACCCGCTGCACTACCGGGGATGCATCGTGTTATTAGTATATTTGAAAGGCATGCACTTAAAAAAAACTGGTTACAATGCAACCAAAAATGTTGTATAGAAGCATGGCCTACAGATGTGGTTTGGGCTACAGCTCTCCTGGTGTAGCTGATAGGAGATAGAATGCAATCAAGAAACAAGAACCTCGATTTTTGTTTATTTAGATGCATTTTTAAAAATCCCTAAACTGAAAAATAAGATTAATATTCTGCACATTCTTTGACATCATCTATAACAACAGCTTATTGTTAAGAAATCATATGAATATGGAGTTTTTTCTTTGTAACAGCCATCCCCCTGCAATTCAAAAGATATCAAGTTTGTCCATTTAAGTAACAATGACAATTCTCTGCACAGCAAAAGCTATGATATGCTTATTAAAAACAGTGGGTTAATGGCAGAATTAGGAAAGCATGAGTTCAGGGAAAAGTATGAAAAATGAATCAAAGTCAAGCTAAAGCAGTGTTTCTCAATCTGGGGGTCGGGACTCCTGGGGGGTTGTGAGGGAGGGTGGCAGAGGGGTCGCCAAAGACCATCAGAAAACACAGTATTTTCTGTTGGTCATGGGAGTTGTGTGTGAAAGGTTTGGCCCAACTCTATTGTTGGTGGGGTTCAGAATGCTCTTTGATTGTAGGTGAACTATAAATCCCAGCAACTACAACTCCTGAACGTCAAGCTTTATTTTCCCCAAACTCCACCAGTGTTCACATTTGGGCATATTGAGTATTCGTGCCAAGTTTGATCCTGGTCCAGCATTGTTTGAGTACACAGAGCTCTCTGGATGTAAGTGAACTACAACTCCAAAACTCAAGGTCAATGCCCAACAAACCCTTCCAGTATTTTCTGTTGGTCATGGGAGTTCTRTGTGCTAAGTTTGGTCCAATTTCATTGTTGGTGGGATTCAGAATGCTCTTTGATTGTAGGTTAACTATAATTCCCAGCAACTAAAACTCCCATATGACAAAATCACACACACACACCCTCAAACCCCACCAGTATTCACATTTGGGTGTATGAGGTGTTTGTGCCAAATTTGGTCCAGTGAATGAAAACACATCCTGCATATCAGATATTTACATTACGATTCATAACAGTAGCAAAATTACAGTTATAAAGTAGCAACGAAAATAAAGTTATGTTTGGGGGTCACCACAACATGAAGAACTGTATTAAAGAGTCACAGCATTAGGAAGGTTGAGAACCACTGTGTTAAAGCATGCACAAACAAAATCATAGTCTTACATGCACTACAAAAGGGTTCATGGACTGAAAAAAAATTATCCAAATAACACAACACAAAAGACTTGTACAGCAATGGATTTGCACGGCTAATAACTTCTCTAATAGAAGCAGCCTTCCACAGAGAATATAGAAAACTATTCTAACTAATTGGCTTGGAAATGCACATGCAATGTTCTTACAAATGAAAAGCATCCTCACCTTCCAATTCAACAGCCACATCTTGATTCCGTGAAGAATGTCAAAAGTCTATATAACCTGATGCGCTGAATAATGCAGGAAAAATTCAGACAAAATTAATTGGGTTTAAAAGCCACCTGAAAAATAACGATAGATTTAGGCAGGCTTCCTTTTATATGTAAGGAAGGTCTTTGAGGGGGAGAAGCACCTGACAAAAATAGCCAACCAATCTCTCTCAAGAAACAAATATTAACAAGCTTTGAATACTACAGCCCCTCAATGTTAAAATGAATGGGATGTAGTTTACAGCACACTGCTTCTTAAGAGAGATACAGAACATTCAAGAATGCTCCTCCAGTTTCTGAAACAGATTTGTTTTCCCATTGAGTGACAGGAACAGCAACCACTTGGAGTGTCACACACAGCAGAGAAGTGACTGGTTAGGGACAGGTGGCATGGCTTTATAGGGAAGCAGCTCTCCACTTTCACTTGATGTAAATTCTAGCAGCCAAGTACAGTACAGCTAAATACAACAAAGACGCATCACTGGTTGTGTTGTGAACATATGCAGAGGAGAGAAACCAGCAAAGGCACCTGGTGATTTAAGCACAGTGTACTTCTCCCATTCAGTTTCAATCAGAGCATATTCATGCCAAACTTTAGCTGGTTTAGGTCATGGCAAATTTTGGTATGGGAGACAACGTGATGTAGTAGTTTGAGCACTGGACTACGAATCTGGAGACTAGAGTTCAAGTGCCAGGAAATGAGCCCAGAAGGGCAGAAAAATGCCATAGAAACCCACTGGTGCCCCTTCCACACAGCTGAATAAAATCATAGAGTTGGAAGAGACATCATAGGCCATCCAGTTCAACCCCCTGCCAAGAAGCAGGAAAATCACATTCAAGCACCCCCAAAAGATGGCCATCCAGCCTCTGTTTAAAAGCCTCCAAAGAAGGAGCCTCCACCACACTCCGGGGCAGACAGTTTCACTGCTGAACAGCTCTCGCAGTTAGGAAGTTCTTCCTCTGTTCAGGTGGAATCTCCTTTCCTGTAGTTTCAAAATCCCACATTATCTGCTTTGAACTGGAATATATGGCAGTGTGGACTCAGATAACCCAGTTCAAAGCAGATATTGTGGGATTTTCTGCCTTGATATTCTCAATTATATGGCTGTGTGGAAGGACCTTGGGTGAACCTGGACAAGTCTCACTCTGTCAGCCTCAGAGAGAGAAAAAGACAACTCTTGCAAAAACAAAAAATGCTGTGTCACCATAAGTCAGAAACAATATTAAGGTGCACACAACAACAACAACAACAACAACAACAATGGTTTTTGGTCAGTTGGACACTTTTGCTGTATATTTGAAATCAGAGAGCCAGCAAATTATATGGGGGGAAATATTCAGTACAGGAAAATATATTGGAATGTGGAGAAAGGCTAAATCACAATGTCCCAATGGAGCGGTGGATACCCTTCTTTCTTTTCACAGACCACATTCCCTGAAAGCAGTGGTTCCCTGCCCTCCTTCATTCAGAGTGCCAATTCCAGAATCATAAGGAGTTTTTAAAAAACTTGATCTGGAGTTTGCTGGCAGATGACATATCAATCTTGACAGACAACTAACCACTTTAAGAAGAGTCACAAAATTAGGCTGAAGATGACATGCCACTTTAGGTCTCCAGAGCCTCCTTCTCCTGAGCAAACGAATACAGAAACAGCCCACGGGAGCCAGTGACTTCTGTGTCAGTGGACTGTGCAATCTGTGCCAGGTTTGCTTCTGAACCTATAAGGAACTATCCAAAGTGCTGAACTTATTTTCAGGATTGTTGTCCTGTGATTTCAAGGCATTTACAATTTATGGAGACTACAAAGCAAATATTTCATCGGTTCCATAGATTGCATGAGTCCTTCAAAGTGCAGACCAAAACTCAAAGTGGATACCACCGCCCGTGCCATGGGAGCCACCGGCTATCACTGCGAAGAGCAGAGAATTAACTATGTGGAATCACATCATTGATACTGGGGGGAGGGGGCATGTTTAATATCAGAATCAAGTCTATCCTCGATTTCAACACTAAGCAAATAAATGCATTGATTCCAAAGAAAGGGGAGCTTCAAATAAAATGTAAGGGGACCAAGTCACTTGTCAACACAGAGAAAGGGCCAGAGAGATAATTTACATCAGTGCTCCTCAAAGTGGAAGTCTCTGGAATTGTGCTGACTCTTGAGCTATAAGTTTATAGTCCCTAGCAAATTAAAATGGAACAATTTTAGCCAATAGTTATGAATCAAGTCCCAGTCACTGGCACATTGGAGGAAAATAATTTTCATCCCCCCATATCAAACAATATAGAAAGCACTGATTTACATAAATTTAGCATAAATATGCTAGTTCAAATACAGATAAGGAAGTTGCACATTTGATTATGCTAAGGTGATGCTAGTTCAAAGGCAGATAAGTAAGTTGCACATTTGAATATTCCTACAAATAATAAAAGGCTTGGTGTGGAAAACTAGTATATTAAGGGAAAGCTTGTCTTTCAAACCATTCTCCTTGAATAGTATGGAATACTCCACACAATGATTTGAAGGTTAAGCTCTCTCTGGAAAACACTATTATCATACAAGCAGACCAAGTTTCATATTTGTTTTTGAATTCTCTCACACACAAAATCGGATAAAGTCCAGATATGAGAGAACTATTTGCCCTTGTGGTCTGCTGTTCTATAACTGCAATGCCTTTTTCAACCAAAACATGAGAAAGATAGTTCCACTTTAACACTAGGATTTATTCGATTGCCTATTGAATCATACAGAAAATACTAAATGGCTTCAGTCATTTAAATTGGTTGCATACAGATTCCAGATGAGTAAATCAGGAAGTATGCCACCTCCAAGGTTTCGCAGTCATCTAAATCCTGAAGTTGCAAAAACTAGCAATAAACACAATGTTATCTGAAATGCTGGGTCATGAAAACTTTTATAGGGATCCATACCAGAAGTGATAGAGAACATAGTATTTACGATGCTATTCTCTGGCCAGCCACAGCCATGGGAATTTTTCTTATGCTGCTTAGAGATTATAACTACTGCTTGTGTGCTGTTTACAATAGTGAACTTTCAACAGGAACTAACAATTACCTAGGAGAGCCCTGCAATTGTTCACTTTCCCATTTCTCAGAGGCATGTTGCAACTAGCCCCTGAATCAGCAGCTAAAGTGGCACACAACTTCAGCACTATTATAGAAATATACCCAAATTCATGAAGCAGACTTTTTAAAAAGGTGCTTTTTTCAGAATTTTTGTTAATTGAGCAGAATAGATCCCCTCTTACAATGCTCAACACATGTTCCATGATAAAAACAAGAAAGAACCGTACACCCACTTGAATATAAATGTATTCAGTTTAGAATTAGCTGTCACTGGTTCATACTAACAGTTAGGTTGTTGTTGCATCCCCTCAAGTTGTTTCCAACATATGCAAACCCTAATGCAACCTGAAGACACAGGTTCACAGCTTATTTATTTATTTCAAACATTTCTATCCCATCCTTCTCAACCCCCGAGGGGGGACTCAGGGCGGCTTACAAATGGCAGCCATTAGATGCCAACAACAACATCAATCACATTACAAACAAATTGACAATTAAGTAAACAACAAAATTACAAATATACATTAAAATATTAAAATTATACGTTAAAATTGAAACACAGCCAGGCCCAAATCACAAATCCAAAGCTTGGGGGTGATCCTGGATTCATCACTGACCCTGGAGCCTCAGGTATCGGCGGTAGCTATGATGGCGGAGGGCCCCCGCCAACGATTGGCCTGCACTGCAGCGGAGAGTTCCACAGTTCCTGGTTGTCACAATTGGAAGAAACTGATGAAATGTGCTCCAGCAGGCAGCTCAATAATAAGACTGCACTCAGCCTTTCTTTGCTTTCCCTTCTCCCTACATTGTAACATTCCCCTAATAAAGCACTTGAAACTTGCAACATTTAATCTTTCTTTTGTATCTTTCCTGCCTCAGACTAATTCAACATTAAAATAACCCCTTTTCCAGGCTCCGGAGAGCTGTGGGCCTGCGGGGAGGTGCCTCCAGGCACCCCCCGGACCAAGGATCTGTGTTCGCCCAATTCGCGGATACTGAAACCGCCATTTTGGACCCCAGTAACCACTAAAACAGTAATATGGCGGATCGGCGCCGTTCTAATTTTGTATTTTTCTGCTATTAATTCTAAGACTAACTGCTATCTCGCTTTCCCCATTTTGGGCTCCTGCGCTCGGGGAATAATCGTTTTGTTTAAAGTATTATTATTAGACAGCAAACAGCTGATTGCCAAAACTCTGCTGGCTCGGTGAAAGCAGCCTGTTATTCCCTTGCTACCACTCGTTCCTGCTCGTGCCCTGCCATCAGGGGCTTGCTGTGGGCACCCACAGGAGGACCCGGAGAAGCGGCCAGGCCGGCCCCCGGCCCCAGCGCGGAAGATCTAGTTCGCCAAGGGCCGGACAATGGATTCTGTTGCTTCCTGACCCAGCGCACATAACTGGGTTCCTGTTTCCTCTTTGTGAACTCTCTGACTTATGCACTGGACTATGGACTCTGCTACTACCCAACCCAGCGCCCATCACTGGACTTCTGCCTTTTCTTATTGACTCTCTGCTTCATGAACTGAACTGTTTGCCACATCCTTGGCCACAAACTTCCTTCTGGTGCTTGCCTTGAAATGCAAGCAGCCTCCATTTCCACGCACCTTTGCCAAAGGACTATGAGATCTCCAGTTTGCGTTATAATAAAGATCCAATATTGTAATAAACTTTCGCTGGGGATGGGGATGGGATTGCCTCATGAAATATAAAATGTATGTAATGAAATATTATATGAAATGTACTCTGGTTCCCCTCCCTGCTTCTCCTCTTTGACCCTTGCCCCAAAAGGAATGTGACCTAAGGATTACTGTGACAGGGAGGAAATCCTTTGTCCTCCCGAAACGGTTCATATTTACATTTGCATGGGCCGTGTGGTTGATCCCTTCTCAAACTAACTTTCAGAGCAGACAGTAAGGGAGGGAAGGGTCAACATAAACTCAGGAAGAAAAGACTGATTGAATCATTTTAGGTATTTGTTGATCCCCCTTTTTACAAGGCCCTGAGGTCCAAATACCATCAAAAGCTCCTTTTCATACTTCCTCCCAAATCCAATCATAGACCAGGAAACTCATTGTTCCCCTATCTGTCACCCCGCCGGTGAGGACAAAGCCTCACATTTCAGCTGGCGGATGCCCCCTGGGCTCATCATTTCCTCTGAACTGTCAAGCTTTGTCCCGCCTCCTGGCTGCCGATTGGTCCATCTTCAGAGGCGCTAGGAAGGCACTGATTGGCCTCCCAGAGGCAGCGGAGCCCGCTGATTGGTCCGGAGGCGAGGCATGCTGCCAAGCCTCCTCCCAGCTGTTTCGCGGCCAGCCAATCAGCACGAAGCCGGCTGACAGAGGGCGGGCGGGATTTTTGAAACTGTTTTCCTTTGTCTGTGTACTATAAAAATGCTTGGAAATTCTGTAAAATCATGCTTGTGGTGGAATGATCCCTGCAATTGCATCCTTTTCAGCTAAATCGCAGAAATAAACGCCTCGGTCACTGAACCTCTTCAGCCTCTGGTGAGATTAATTTTTAATATTTCTCGTTCGTTGGATTGGCTTTCGCTGGCTGCTCACCGAGGTCAACGGACCCCGCTGGGAGACCCCCAAAAAGAGCTCGATATCAGCTAGGAGTGCCTTTGCACAATTAAAACTTGTGCGCCAGCTGCACCCATACCTTAAGACACCAAACCTGGCCATGGTAGTACTTGCCTTAGTAATATCTCATTTGGACTACTGCAATGCGCTCTATGTGGGGCTACCTTTAAATAGTGCTCGGAAGCTTCAGATGGTACAGAGAACAGCAGTACTGTACAGGAGAGAATAACTCCTATGTTATGGCAGCTCCACTGGCTTCCAGTTTGCTACTGGGTGAAATTTAAAGTGCTGTTTGTTACCTTCAAATTAAACACTGTGAAAGCCATCCACTGCATGGCTATCAGCCTCCTCCCGGTAGACTCAAATCAAGGAAAAGTTTCATGAGAACCACCACTCCTCTTAATGTTCCCCTAGCAACAGCAAGGGTATTTCCTTCTCCAGAAGGAAATTAATTGGTTGCTTGATTATCATGGACCCCATTTGCATTGCCATATATTGCAGTTGGGAACTGCGTTGTATGGTCAGTGTAGACTCATGTTCAATGAGGTTAAACTGTATTATATTATATAACACAGTTCCAAACATCATTATATGGCAGTGTAGATGAGGCCACAGTTGTTGGGGGGCTTTGTTTCCCTCTGAGGCTGAGTGTGTGTAATTTGTTCACAATCATCCAGTGAGTTTCCATGCCTGTGTGGGGATTCAATCTCAACACTCAAAACTACTGAGGGCCCATCTACACTGCCATATAATCCAGTTTCTGATCCAAGATTATCTGCTTTGAACTGAATTATATGGAAGTGTGGACTCATATGATATAACCCTGTTCAAAGCAGATAATCTGGATTCAGAAACTGAATTATATGACAGTGTAGATCCAGCCTGGATTATATGGCAGTGTAGACTCATATAATCCTGTTCAAAGCAGATAATCTGGATTCAGAAACTGGGTTATATGACTGTGTAGATCCAGCCTGGCTCTCCTGCCTGCACATATTCGGGAATAAGCACCCTAAACTTTGCAGTGGTGACTTTAGAGTATACAAACACAAAGAAACATTGTACATCTAGCATGTTCACAGTGCAATCTACTTATACTTTGGAGTCAAAAGGATGCTCTATACAGGATAGAGACCATTTCTGATTAAGCTCTTATTGTTGTTCCGTGCCTTCAAGTCATTTGTGGTTCATATTGATCTTACCAACATGTGGCTTCCTTGGCAAGATCTGTTCAGAAGGGGGGTTGCCACTGCCATTACCTTCCTCTGAAGTTGAGAGAGCGTGACTTTTCCAAGATCACACAGAGATGGCCAAGCAGGGATTCAAATCCTGGTCTGCCAGAATCCAAGTCCAACATTATGCTGGGTCTGAATTTATCACCGAGGGTGCATCTACATTGCAGAATTAATGCAGTTTGAGACAACTTTAACTGTCATGGCTCAATGCTATGGAATCCTGAGATCTGTAATTTGATGAGACACCAGCACTCTTTGGCAGAGAAAGCTAAAGACCTTGTACAGCTACAACTCCCAAGATTCCATTGCCATGGCAGTTAAAGTGGTGTCAATCTGTATTAATTCTGCAGTGTAGATGCATCCCAAGGAACCACCGTTTCCTCGGATCGCACTGCCAAATATCTAATTAATTATGTAGCAAACAGAATAAATGATAATTTCACTCTTCCACCTTTACTGTGCAGTTTGCAAACGCACCCAGAGAACAGATAATAGGAACTGTAATCCAATTCAGTAATATGCACTGCAGGCAATTACAAATTATTGTAGGTTCAAAACAATTATACTGTGCAAATAATAATACTCTAAAATCAACTGCTTTACTCAGCTCCAAATACAGAAAGTAAAGACCATAGCCTTGCAGTTTGCCATTAACACTGTCCGTTATTTATCTTTCGTTTTTGGAAGCAATCCTTACAATGGCATGCGTTTCCTGGTTCAAAAGCTACCATACCTTTCAGCAAGAAGCCACGAAAACGGATTGGAAGGGCTACAAACTACAATTCCCAGAGTCCTTTGTGCTTTAAATGCCTGCATCGGCCATGACGTCACCTACTAGAAGGAAAGCTATTAACCCTTTCAGCGCTAGGAAGGAAATAAACTTCAGTGCTCACAAATCATGTCTATTATTCTATACTACATAGCATATTATTATTATTATCATCATCATCATCATTATTATTATTATTATTATTACACAGCAAACGAGAAATATATGCTGGATTTTTATTATCATTATTATTATTATTATCATCATCATCATTATTATTATTATCCGTCCCCTGCCACACATTGCTGTGGCTCACATGGGGGTTCTGTGTTTGGGCCAGTTCTATTGTTGGTGGGGTTCAGAATGCTCTGTGATTGTAGGTGAACTATAAATCCCAGCAACTACAACTCCCAAATGTCAAGATTCTATTTTCCCCAAAGTCCACCAGTGTTCACATTTGGGCATATTAAGTATTTGTGTAGAGTTTGGTCCAGATCCATCATTGTTTGAGTCCACAGTGTTCTCTGGATGTAGGTGAACTATAACTCCAAAACTCAAAGTCAATGCCCACTAAATCCTTCTAGTGTTTTCTGTTGGTCAGGGGAGTCCTGTGTGCCAAGTTTGGTTCAATTCCATCGTTGGTGGAGTTCAGAATGCTTTTTGATTGTAAGTGAACTATAAATCCCAGCAACTACAACTCCCAAATGACAAAATCAATTTTTTTTTAGTGAAGGACCTACATTGGGTTGTTAGGTGTCTTGTGTAAAAATTTAGTGTCAATTCGTCCAGCGGTTTTTGAGTTATGCTAATCCCACAAACGAACATTACATTTTTATTTATATAGATTATGATGATGATGATGATGATGATGATGATGATGATGATGATGATGATGATGATTTGAAACACAACAAGATGAGTCCACAGCAGACAAGATCACTCTGCTGGCTGTTGTACTGGATCAGACACCCATTATCAAATTGCAGTAATTGATTGGAAAAGCACTAACAAGATCAGCAAGAGGAGATGGTTGCATTTAAACGGAACGCATAGTGGTTTGAGTACTGAACTTATTTATTTATTTATTTATGGCACTTTTATCCCACCCTTTTCAGCCCGAAGGTGACTCAGGGCAGCGTACAAACGGGCAACAATTAGATGCCACAACATACATACATAGATACGTCAGTTAAAAGCAGTTAAATCACATAATAAAATCCATATAAAAACCATTAAAGCTATAATAATCAATATCTTCCAGTTCAACTCCTTGAACTAAGACTCTGAAGGGTGTGAATTCTGGCTTGGACATGGAAATCCTTTGGCAAGTTACACTCTCTCTGTCTCAGAGGAAGGCAAAAGCAATCCCAAACCCACTCCAAATAAATCTTGTCAAGAAAACTTCATAAAAATGGTAAATTATTTCAAGACACACAACAACAATAAGAGCTTATTCACAAATGAGTTCTACCTTGTAATCTTACATGAAGTAAGATTAAAGAAGACCTAACACCTCTTTTATAGTGGGAATATCAAAGTTGATAAAAAAAGAATATATTTATTTAAATCATTTTTATTATTTCAGGTTTCAATCAAATTTCATTATGACGGTGGGCTGTTTAAAGAGTTGGTGACATTGGCAGAGTAGTTCATTTCTTCTTCTCCTTTGCACAGGCAGTTATTTCTAGAGGCCGCCTGTAGAGAAAGGGATGACCTAGTGCCAGCTCAGTAAAGCAGCAGCATGTAGAAAAGATGATGTCCATCACATTAGTTTTTTCGTCCTCTTCTGCCCACAAGTTAGATGAAGATGGACAAGGAATTTGAGAAAGTTCCTTTAGATAACTCTTATGACAGCCACCTACGTCTCCTAGTAAAGCAGAAGAAGTATCTGTAGCACTCTGTACTCAGTTATCGATCCTTAGACATATTTTCAAGAGAGCTACTGTATGTAGCTTTAAAATGCAAATCAGTTCTTGCAATTTAATATAGTTATATAGATTTCAAAACCCTTGCTTGGTAGTATTTATACTATTGTATTTTCAGGTGTATAAGATGACTGGGAGTATAAGACAACCCCTAACTTTTCCAGTTAGGGGTATACTCGCCATATAAGACTACCCCTCTTCCAACGCACACCAAATAAAAAAATTAAAACATCAGATTTGATTTTAATATGGTAAATTTCCTGTTACCATACCTTCTTCTCTGCCTCTCAGATCCTGCACATGTGCACCTGCGCCCCTTCACTGCAGTCCTCAGGAGTGAGATCTGATAGACAGAGAAGGAGGCACAGTAATAGGATACAAGGGTGGTCCAGACAGGTGAAAGAGGCATTTTTCTCTGGGCACAGTGCCGCTCTATCTCTTTTCTTCATACCCCGGGCTAGCTCCGCCCTTCACTTACACCTTACCAGTGAGGTGCCCCCTCACCTCGTCATCGGGACCACATTAAGTCACTTCTTTCCACGAATCCTGGTGAGTGGGTTTTCTTCTACCATACTTATACAGCGCCACCTTTGCTGCTTTCATACGGTTGCCGCATATGGTGGGGATGCAGCCATGGCCATTTTTGAGTTCCCCCCACCATATGAGACGACCGCAGATTCTCCAGTCCAGCTCAGATGTTTCAGCGCCCACCCTATAAGATGACACCTGGCATATAAGATGACCCCTGACTTTTGAGAAGATTTTCCTGGGTTAAAAAGTAGTCTTATACACCGGAAAATTCAGTATATCAGGGAAGAACCACATCCTCAGAAATCTCTGCCTCTTCCTCCATTTCTACTTTAAGACTAACCGTGGCAAGATCATGAGTCTTCAAAATCAAGGTAGTCTCTCTCCATCTGCCATCTTACTCCTTTCTACCTGAATGTTGAAACTTCTGGAGATCTTGAAAGCTTGCCCCACAATTTTGTGCAAATTTAGATTTAGAATTATGCCTGTACTTCTTCATTCAGATTCTAGTGATTTCTTCCACAGATCAAGTAGATCTGGGGCTAAACTTTGTCTTTTGCCCCAGTATTTTCATGGATGGTGGCTTTAAGGTCATCTTGAAGTGGAATGGGAATTTTGATCTTTTCACCCCAGTCGTCAACGATGTATTGGTGATATGGATCGTTGGAGTGCTCTTGCCTCTTTGATTTCACGGTGCTCACTAGGATGGCCACAACAATGAAGGAGAAGATGCCAATCATCACCATGAGATACATAATGACATAGTCTAGGTTTTCAACGTCAAGTCTAGCTTGCAACTTGTCTTCTTCAATTGTGTCGTTTCTGCGCCAATTGTTCATGTACTTGATGAAGGTCTTCTTAAAAGCATCTTCCAGAGCCAAGGTGAAGTTCTCTAAAGCAGCCATAGTCAATGCACTATCATGATAAAGAAAAATATATCAGTTATCAGTGTATCACAAAACCATCAATGTCAAATTATTTGGAGAGATGGCATATGAAATTTGTTTACTATACAAGGAAACAAAGAAACAACATTATAAGTGTAGCTAATGTGAGACTTGTAGATAGAAATGCAGTGAAGGTCTTACTACAGTTACCGCAATGTCTGTTCTTTATAATCAGTGTATTTTAGCAACAGAAAAAAAATAGCTACATTACACGAGATTTTGACAGACAGATGTCCAAAGATCTCATCAACATTAGAAAATGCAGTTGTGATGAGGAAGCCTAAGGCTAAAATATAGCGTGAAAGGCAGAGACAGGCATATTTAGATAATCCCGTGTCATATTCAACAGTTAGGAATGAAATAGGAGGGTAGTTTAATTGACTCATGGGATCAGTATGACTCAACACAACCTCAGAAGATGAGCCACCTAAAGAATAAAATGTATAATATATAGGAATAGAAAAGGAGACAAAAACATATGCAGTGGAAAGGGTAACTGATGAGCAAGATTTTCCTGTAATATTTCACTTGACTCCTTGAATGTGGTGCTAAAAACATGAGCTAATGTAGGCATAACACAACTAGTTAAATCCACTGACAAAGAAGATCCTTTTTACATAGCCTGCCCAGCCACTTTTTTCCTCACCTGTTTAACTGAAAGATTTTAAGCAGCTTAAGCATTGGGAGTATGGTAAAGGAGGGCTGGAGAAATTGTGTCTGTAGCAAACAATGCAATAAAGCTACATGTGGGAAAACAGGATTGTACTCTAGCCAGTCCTACTGTTATCACCTCCCCCAATATGTTAAAAAGATAAAGTATACATCTTTAAATTTGACCACCAAAAAGGGATTGATGAGGAAAGTTATGGGGGGAAACATCACCAGATGTATTTTGGAAGAAACTTTCATGTGGGCTCTAGAAGGTTGGGGCTGTTTTTGTTTACTTATGCAAGGTTTGCTTGTTTCATTTTAAGTAAAGGTAAAGGTTTCCCCTGACATTGCCAGCATTGTCTGATGACACCTCCAAGGTCATGTGGCCAGCATGACTGCAGGATCTACTCACACTTGCATGTTTTCGAACTGCTAGTTTGGCAGAAGCTGAGGCTAACAGCAGGAGCTCACCCCACTCTCCAGATTGCCAACCTTTTGGTCAGCAAGTTCAGCAGCTCAGCGGTTTAACCCACTGTGCCACTTGGGGGCTCTTGTTTCATTTTACATGTACATATTTAGTTTTGTAGAAAAGGTTTGCTGCAACTGCTTCTATTTTTTCTTTTGTAGAAAGGCATATCGTAGATTCTCTGCATAGGATCTGCATCAGGTGCCAAAGTTAGAGTCATGCCTAGGAACATATCTACTTCATTAACTAATTCGAATTTCATTTTACAGATAATTCTTAACCTCAATCTACAACATGGTGATAATAATACATGCGTTTAATCAGTGATTATGTCCATGTTAATTGTTGTTGTTGTTCATTCGTTCAGTCATCTCCGACTCTTCGTGACCTCATGGACCAGCCCACGCCAGAGCTCCCTGTCGGCCGTTACCACCCCCAGCTCCCTCAAGGTCAGTCCAGTCACTTCAAGGATGCCATCCATCCATCTTGCCCTTGGTCGGCCCCTCTTCCTTTTGCCTTCCACTTTCCCCAGCATAATTGTCTTCTCTAGGCTTTGCTGTCTCCTCATGATGTGGCCAAAGTACTTCAACTTTGTCTCTAGTATCTTTCCCTCCAATGAGCAGTCGGGCTTTATTTCCTGGAGGAAGGACTGGTTGGATCTTCTCGCAGTCCAAGGCACTCTCAGAACTTTCCTCCAACACCACAGTTCAAAAGCATCTATCTTCCTTCGCTCAGCCTTCCCTAAGGTCCAGCTCTCACATCCATAGGTTACTACAGGGAATACCATGGCTTTGACTAGGGATCTTTGTTGCCAGTCTGATGTCTCTACTCTTCACTATTTTATCGAGACTGGACATTGCTCTCCTCCCAAGAAGTAAGCGTCTTCTGATTTCCTGGCTACAGTCTGCATCTGCAGTAATCTTTGCCCCTAGAAATACAAAGTCTGTCACGGCCACGGTTTCTCCTTCTATTTTCCAGTTGTCAATCATTCTTGTTGCCATAATCTTGGTTTTTTTGACGTTTAGCTGCAACCCGGCTTTTGCGCTTTCTTCTTTCACCTTGATTAGAAGGCTCCTCAGCTCCTCCTCGCTTTCGGCCATCCGGGTGGTGTCATCTGCATATCTGAGGTTGTTAATGTTTCTTCCAGCAATTTTCACCCCAGCCTTGCATTCATCAAGCCCCGCACATCGCATGATGTGTTCTGCATACAAGTTGAATAGGTTGGGTGAGAGTAGACAACCCTGCCGTACACCTTTCCCAATCCTGAACCAGTCTGTGGTTCCAGGGTCAGTTCTAACTGTTGCTACTTGGTTCCTATACAGATTCCTCAGGAGAGAGATAAGGTGTTGGTAAGCCCATCCCACCAAGAACTTGCCACAATTTATTATGATCCACACAGTCAAAGGCTTTAAAGTAGTCAATGAAGCAGAAATAGATGTTTTTCTGAAACTCCCTGCCTTTCTCCATTATCCAGCGGATATTGCAATCTGGTCTCTCGTTCCTCTGCCTTTTCTAAACCCAGCTTGAACATCTGGCAACTCTCACTCCATGTATTGCTGGAGTCTTCCTTGCAGGATCTTGAGCATTACCCTACTGGCATGAGAAATAAGGGCCACTGTACGGAAGTTTGAGCAGTCTTTCGCATTTCCCTTTTTTGGTATGGGGATATAAGTTGATTTTTTCCAGTCTGATGGCCATTCTTGTGTTTTCCATATTTGCTGGCAAATGGCATGCATCAACTTGACAGCATCATCTTTCAAGATTTTAAAGAGTTCAGCTGGGATCCCGTCATCTCCTGCCATCTTGTTGTTAGCAATGCTTCTTAAGGCCCATTCAACCTCACTCCTCAGGATGTCTGGTTCTAATTCACTCACCACACCATCAAAACTATCCTCGATATTATTATCCTTCCTATACAGATCTTTTGTATAGTCTCACCACCTTCTCTTGCAGAGGCGGCCCTAGGTAATTTTCAACGGTAAGTGAACAGTATTTTGGCGCCCCCCCCCCAACCAATCACTGATATATATTGTCTGTTTGTTGTGGGAGTTCTGTGTGCCATATTTGGTTCAATTCCATCATTGGTGGAGTTCAGAATGCTCTTTGATTGTAGGTGAACTATACATCCCAGTAACTACAACTCGCATATGTCAAGGTCTATTTTCCCCCAAGAGCGCCGCAAGAGCGCCCCTGGGCAAAATCAACTATACTGCAAATGCTTACTTTGCGTAATGGGTTGAGACGCCCCTCTCTTGATCTCTTCAGCTTCTGTTAGGTCCCTGCCATCTTTGTTTCTTATCACACCAATTTTTGCCTGAAATTTACCTCCAATGTTTCTAATTTTCTGGAAGAGGTCTCTTGTCCTTCCTATTCTGTTGTCTTCTTCCACTTCCATGCATTGCTGATTTAAAAATAGTTCCTTATCTCTTCTGGCTAACCTCTGGAATTGCGCATTTAACTGGGCATATTTCCCCTTATCCCTGTTTCCTTTTGCTTTCCTCCTTTCTTGGGCTACTTCCAGTGTCTCAGCAGACAACCATTTTGCCTTCTTGGTTTTCTTTTTCTTTGGGACATACTTTGTTGCCACCTCCTGAACAATGTCGCGGACTTCTGTCCATAGTTCTTCTGGGACTCTGTTTACTAAATCTAGTCCTTCAAATCTGTTCTTCACTTCCACTGTATATTCGCTAGGAATGTTAGTGAGATCATATCTAACTGGTCTGTATTTTCCCTGATCTCTTTAGTTTTATTCTAAATTGGCAATAAGAAGTTCGTGATCTGAGCTACAGTCAGCCCCAGGTCTTGTTTTCACCGACTGGATGGATGTCTGCCACCTTTGGCTGCAAAGGATGTAGTCAATCTGATTTCGGTGTTGACCATCTGGTGAGGTCCATGTATAAAGCCGTCTTTTAGGTTGTTGGAAGAGAGTATTCGTTATACACAGCGAGTTTTCCTGGCAAAATTCTATCAGCCTGCGTCCCGCTTCATTTTGTTCTCCCAGACCATGCTTGCCTGTGATCCCAGTTGTCATTTGACTTCCCACCTTGGCATTCCAGTCTCCTGTAATGAAAATAATGTCTCTTTTTGGTGTATTATCCAGTAGGTCCTGCAGATCCTCATAGAACTGATCTACTTCTGCTTCTTCAGCAGCTGTGATTGGGGCATATATTTGGATCACTGTAATGTTGAAAGGCTTTCCTTGCACTCGAATTGAGATCATTCTGTCATTTTTTGGGTTGTATCCAAGCACCGCTTTAGCGAATTTCTTATTAATTATGAAGGCTACTCCATTTCTTCGATGTTCCTCTTGTCCGCAGTAGTAGATCTGGTGGTCATCTGATGTGAAGTGGCCCATTCCAGTCCATTCAGTTCGCTGCCAGTAATGTGTATCTTTAGTCTTGACATCTCACCAATAACAACATCCAGTTTGCCTTGGCTCATAGATCTTACATTCCAGGTTCCTATGGTGTGTTGATCTTTAGAGCACTGGATTCATCGTTCACCTCCAGCACTGTTGGTCACTAGCCTTCCTTTTGGCTTTGAGCTAGCTGAATCATCACGTCTGGGGCTAGTTGAAGTTATCCTCTGCTCCTCCCCAGTAGCATTTTGGCCATCTTCTGACATGGGAGTCCCATCTTCCAATGGCATACCGACATATCTCTGGTTGTACTGGTCCATTTGGTTTTCTTGGCAAGGATACTGGGGTGGTTTGCCATTGCCTTCCCCAGGGATCACGCTTGGTCTGACCTCTCTGCCACAACCGTCCCGTCTTGGGTGGCCCTTCACGGTTTCGCTCATGACATCATTGAGGTGCTCAAGCTCCAGCGCCCCGACAAGGCGGTGATCCATGTTAATAAACTATATGTTTTAGACACTTAAGTATTTGATTCCAATATAGATTTTTCCCCAAAACTTCTCAGCTGCACACATTTGAATACAATTGTCTCATCTGATTTTTGAAGCTAAATTGGATGATGCCTGAAATCAACTTCCTGTTTAGGCTAGGAAAGAAATCCTGACTGAAATCCTGAAGAGTTGTTGTCAGTCAGCATTGAGAGATCTGAACAAGATGGATAGTTAGATTCAATAGAAGACATCTTCCTATGTTCTCCACCTTGGGATAGATGTCATCATGATTCACAATATAGACCCTACCTTTTTGGATTGAAACATGTAGGAAAAAAATATACAGTTGGCCTTCTATAAATATAAACTTTGTATCCACAGATTCAACCATCCACAGTCTGAAAATATTAAAATAAAATTCAAAACAGCAAACATTAATGTTGGTGTTTTCTGTAAGACATCATTTTACAAGGTCATTGCATATAATGGGACTTGAACATCCATGGATTTTACTATCCACAGAGGGTCCAAGAATCAAACCACAGTGGCTACCGAGGACCCACTGTACTAGCACAGATATGTCTGATCTCTCTTTATGTTATAGACACCCATAAAAGGAAATTAGAGTGTTGTCATTTTAAGCACAATTATCTGTGGGAAACTGTTACCTGTTTTTGGCAAGCATATACCCATTTCTAAATCAAATGCAAAATCTGAACTTGTCCACATATGTTGCTGAGACAGTGTCATCTCTACTTTCTGATGGTTCAGTATACACAAACCTTGCTTCATGTACATTACTTAAAATATTATA